TGCTTCGAATGGACTTCCTGAGGACGTTATAATGGCGGACACGACATCTACATTTGCACGTAAACTTGGTGTGTATTTAAATGAAATATTACGTTCATCCTGAGGGGAAAACTCCGTTTCAGCATACTGACACCTTGCTGATACCTACGCATAACGCTGTTATCTGTAATTTGATACATTTTATCCTTGTTTCTTCACAATGACTATGCTTAAATCCCGGATATGCAAATAATTGCTCAATGCAAATATGTTACTCCATTTTGATAGAACAAATTTTTCGGGAAACAGGAACAATTTTTATTTGTAAATTTTCGACCTAGTGTGCTAGTGTCGAAAATTTACGAATAAAGTTTGTTCCTGTTTCCCAAAGAATTTCTTCTATCAATATATATATCTCGGGATGACTATTTTCAAAATGTTACTCCATATTTTACAGTAACAGGTCTATACTGAGTTTAATATTTTAAGGTCTCCCAGGATAACGTCTATTGCCCTAAATGTACTGAAGTATAACCCTAATTCCCCTGGAATTATGAGCCCTGATGGGATGGGGAACATCAGCGACCCCCCCCTGATTATTCTGATATGATGTATCACAGTGGACCAGGCAGACAGATCGAACAGGACCTACGATTTAGTTTCGCAAAGACGAGGACAGTGTTGCGGCCATCGTGGGATGCTAAGGAAGCTTAATGTACAAAGAGGGGATGTAAGTTTGACAACGGACGACCAGCTTATCGAGCAAATGTGTTTGTTGCATCTGTTTACGGCTTGTTTTCGATGATGATAGGGAAAAAAGCAGTGTAAGAGCCGGTTAGCTCATTTATATCGATGTCAAAATCATGTGATTGTCAAACGAGCTTCACGGTCAACTGGCTCAGACCTGGGAGTCAGAAACCAACACGCAGACCAGCAGGTGCATTGTAGACCAGAAAACACTGAAGCCATATGACAGCGGCTACAGTGGGTCAGCATTCGGTCTTTACAGCAACCTGCGAGCAGTGCTTTCAGAGATTCCATATTAGGGACTACAAGCTGGCTATCATAAAACCTGCATGGGTCGCTCTTGGAAGGGGTCGTACAAGTAGATACCTCGAGACCTACTCAACTAAACGCCAGCATGTCGTTTGCTGGCATAATCACGCTTGCCAACCTCCCTCGTTAAAGAGGACAGACCACGTCCATCGGCCTACCTTCGTGACGTTCAGAGCCCTAATGCGTGAAGCCGGATATGGCGTCCGTGCGGCCTAGACTTACGAACGTCATCTCCTATCACCACATTGAATTAGCAAAGTCTACTGCGAATATACTGATAGGTTCCACTCGCCCGCCAAAAAGTTCACCTAAGCTCCAACCATCCGCACAAATAACTCGACTAGGATCAAACTAATTTTCTTCCTCACCAACGCTATGCAAGAACTCATACAAACACTGCCGAAAGCTTAGTAACATACTCCACCCACTACTCGGATCATATATAAAGGGTCCGCCATCGATTATGGGGTCAAACTATCCTATACTTAACTCTAGAATTTGTCACAGTAGTACCGTAGCAGCTGAAACAAAAATGCGCGTCTTCGGCTAGACGTCAGCGCTCCTCAAATTACCGTTTCTTTTACTCCACTTTTCCCGTACAACGCCTTCTGAGTATATGTTTGTTACAACCACATCAATCTTTCCGTTTGCTCTGCCCAACAAAATGCAGAACGAGAAGCGCACATTCTCGGAGAGCGTGGATATGGAGAGAGAGGGAGCACAGGGTACTGGGCAGGTACACAAAATGTGTTCATGTAACGAAAAAAAAAACTAAACGAAGCCCTATGGGATAGTGGCTAGGTAGTCCTTAATCTCAGATGGCTCCAGAATGCGAAATCCCTTTTCGTTGCAGACGGCGATCTCAATGTTGTGCTCTGTCATCTGGCCTTCAAAACTCTCCTTCAGAGTCAGGATAGCAGCATGCACAGCGTCCTCAAGTTCTAGTTTGTCACTGTGTCTAAAACAGACCAACAGAAGAAAAGCCTGTAGTTGGCGGTTGACTTTGGACAGACAAGTTGATATGAGAGGTTAAGTGTGCATTTATAACAGTGGCTTTGATAAACACAAAAGGTCTAATCAGGAAACTGTTCACACGTACCCAACGTTTGCACAATGGAACTATTTTTTACCCACCATGCACTATCTATGCCGGTCTTTCGCACGACGTTCCTCGTCTATTTGCTCACCATCGCTTAAGCTGAATTAGAGTTAACTAGGTTCCTTATCTCACAGAGGCTGACCTAACTGCCAATGAAAGATAACTCCCTTTTTCTCTGCCTAGGCATATTTGGTTCTACTCGGAATGTAAATGGTTAACGTATTCTTCTTTATAATAGTTGAGTCCCAGGTTAGAGCTTCCGAAAAAGCGCCACAGAAATAAGCAGTATGATGGGTATTAGATGAAAACCGTGGTCCTGCATTCTCACGTGATAAATAAACACAGACTACTCACATTAATTTAGTAGCCCTTATAGTTCAAAGTATAGTTACCGAGGGCATAACAATCTGCTTATCCACAATTTTGTTCATTTAATGAATTTTGGTAAACTTCATGAAATCGTCAAGGATACCAGCCTCAACCTCAAGTGTACCTGAAAGACAGCGCCAGGAATAAGTGGAACCAAATAAGGAGGGTAAGATGGAATTTCGATCTGGAAACCAAGAGCATCAGACGAAAAGCGCAGTCATAACTGATGAGCCGTCAAATTCGACTGAAAACATTGGTAAAATATTCGAGAACTGCCAGTGAAGTGCGAACACGAAGGAAAAAAGCATTCTTGTCAGTTTGTGAAGAGCTGAAGACAACATATCCAACTAAACTTGGCAGACTTTACCATATGAAAAATTTGGCAGCAGTTTGTAAGTTTCCCGTTAAAAAAAATATCCCAAATTCTGATAAATGCATCACACTAGGAAGGTTACGCATGTTTGCATGACTTGCTACTGCAACCGAAAGAAAACTTACCGTTTTTCGAGGAAGGCCTTTCCATTCATGGAGTTCTTTCCAAGAGCGGTTGCTTTCCAAGGGAAGAATGTGCCCTAGACGAGAAAGGAGATGAGAATTATTGACAAGTAGACCACAGAGGGACAGAAGGGACAGCCCCTTCGAGGCTGACATTTAATTGGACAGTCAATTCTCTTATTGAGAGGCAATGACCGTCTGCAGCCGAATGAGAGGCCGCGAAATTTATGACGTCATTAAATTCTGCTAATCTAGTGATCTTCGCCTTGTACAAATTTCTTTAGGGAAAACAATGCTTCAAGAATCCTGAATGTCAAACGCCTTCAGGTTAGATGAAGACCCATTAAGAGTCGGTAAACGTGCGAGCGTAAACGCAAGCTACCGTACGCAGTAGGTGAACTTAAGCCTGTAGCTAGAACTAAGTCTTAAGCAAATTGTGCAAAATGCAGTTAGGAAAAAGTGCCAGATAGACAGCGCCACTCGAGAGGGAAGTGTGGGGTCTTACTTGTACTTGCAAAATCTAACATTAATGCTATTTCAACTGCTTCTGCTGCCATAACGTCACGGACCGGTGCGAACACGTATTAAGCTAATGCATTTGCTACTTCTAAATTCCACCTTGTCTTCCCCTTTTATAAAGGAAAGCAACGTGGCAGTGTCCGTCTTGTGGGACGAGTTCAGAGTACCACACTTATTGAAATATCTCAA